TTATGAATTATTTATGGAGGATTGATCTATATGTAATGACTATATCAAATAGACACTTCGCAGTTTAGAAGTAATTAATGTCTATAATTTTGAGAGTTCAATTCCAAGTTTATAGTGGAGTAACTATTGAAATTAATAGAATTAATTATTAATTTTATTGGAACTCGGGATTATAGGTCCATTAGTCCCCGCGTCGTCCTTGTAATTCTACTAGACACAAAGGGCAAAATGAGAATTTTAGAATGACGGAATTCTAAAATTAAATACTCGAAAAATAATTAATTGAGAATTAATTATTATTTAAATAATGTGATTATTTAAATTTGAATTTGAATGAGAACATAATTTAAATTTATCCTTTTGAACTTATTTGATAAGTTGTTCAATTTAGAATTCAAATTAATTTAAGTTTGACTTAAATTCGAATTTGAATTAAAATTGGACTACAGGATAAATGATGAATTCTCTTCCTTCCTTATCCAGTTTTGGCGCCACACACAGGGTTAGAAAATCCTAGGGGTGGCGGGCCACTTTAGGGATAGAGGAGAGGAGATTTTGTTGTTCAAAAATTCAAATAGGAGATAGAGATTTGATTCTGTTTTGAAGTTTGACTTCTACTCTTTAAATATGAGAATGATAGAAAATTGTGAACATAATTTTTTAAAGTAATTTTCTGCCCTAAGAGTTGGTGGCCGAATTTTCTCAAAGAAAAAAGAGAGGAAAAATTTTTTCTCTCAAAAATTCCACATCGTGCATGCGTTGGTGTTTGTGGAAATTCGAGTGTTATTGAAACCTGTTTTGTCTCACGTGTGCCCACACACACGTCTACATGGACTCAAGAAATCGACGTGGAAGACTTTGGTTTTCTAAACATAAAGCTTGGAGCAAGGACTGTTCGTGGACAAAGAACTCAAGTTATCATCCGAGTCGGCTTCCAGGTATTTTTCCTGATTGAATTCTTGATATATATATAAATTAATGTGTTTAATTTATTCGTGCATCAATTAATATAATCTATAGAGTATCTCAAAAGTTTTATGAAATTTTTGTTATACACGATCCGCCTCCCCGCCACGCTTCCGCATCCGAATTCGATTCGGTTTCTAACATCCTCTTCATGCTATGGAAGACATGGCAGGTGGCGTTCCGAGTGATTCGGATAACGTGGGGTGGTTTGTCTAGCGAACTACTTCTCGACGTGGGTCTCAACGAGAATTGCAGTCTTGAAAAGGAAGGCAAGAGAATCAGAAAGTAAGTGGGGTCGGGGTTTGCGTGCTCATGAGGCCCGTGTTGAGTTACAAGCTCACTTGGTGACCAGCTCGCTGGTTAGCGACTTGGTCAGATATGCGAGCCAACTATGCTATAAACCTACACCTTTGAGTGAAGGGTTGATGTGTAGAACTAAAGGATTGATCCTCAGCTAGGGATATGAGATTGTCAGGTCACTAAAGTCTCTTAATTGACTTGGTCTAGGGTTCAACCCAAGCCTTGAGCTTTGAGGTTGGTGATGCGACATGCTAACTCGGATTTGTGGCATGTTGATGAGCTGGACAGGTTTACAAGATGGCTAGATCCTCGAGTTGGCCAGATCCACGAACTGGCCAGGTCCACGAGTTGGTCAAGTTTTCGAGTTGGTCAGGTTTTCGAGTTGGTCAAATTTACAGAGTGATACACTTGCAAGCTTTAAGTGTTTGAGTTAAGCTAAGGTTTCGATGTTCTAATGTTGTCAAAGTGACAACTCACATGGTATTGAGCTCGCTTGATGGCGAGGTCGTGAGGATGTGGAGTCACATGGCCATGAGCTTGCTTAATGGTGAGCTTAAGTGGCGTTGAGCTTACTTGATGTTGTCGAGCTCGCGAGGTCGTGAACTCGCTTAATGATAAGCTCGTGTGGTTACAAGCCGTTGTAGAGGACTAACAATCTTATTACACTTGCTCTAGTATTGAAAGGTGCTTTTAGGACTAACAATATTATGTTGACATAGACTATTTGTATTGAGCATTAAAAGACTTTGCTCAACTCGCCTAACTCAGATCCTACTTCAAGTCACCTACCTTAGCTTAAGGTACCAAGCTTAAGATATCGAGCTCAACTTGAGTTTCGGTGTAGCCTACCTAGAATGCCACGCTAAGCTTGTGAAAATTATGGTATAACAATTGTAATTTATTTTTCTAATTTCACCAGAGATTCTATTAAAATTTAACTATTTTCTTCACTCATTGTTTTTTTTTTTGGGACGAATTTTTTGATTATTTTTAGAGAATTTCTCTGGTTGGACCTGAAAAAATAAATTCTCGGTAATTCTTTATTTTTTAGCTGTTAAATTTGTATTAAAAATAATAATTTTTTTACGTACACTTTTAATTTAAGGTGATTTTAATCAAATTTTACGGTAGAAAATGACAATTCCGTTATAAAAGCTTAGTGGAGAAAGTCCTTCGTTATAAGGCTGAAGAGGTCATTTCCATGTCTTGATTCCTCTCGGAACGACGACAACTTTTTATTTCAAGCCAAATAGAAAACGACGACATTCCTTCCCTACTTACTCATCGTCATCGGACTCCAAGTCAAACAAGCTCCTTCTTCGCAAAAAGAGTCCACCAATCTCCCCCAACCCACCCCCCCTCTCTCTCTCTCTCTCAACTGTATGAGTGCAGTAAGGCCGCCATGGACGACCTTCCTCTACAGAAAATCGCAATCTCAGGCCCAACCCTCGCCTCCATGATCCAACGCTTCTCATTCTCCCCTGGCGCCGTCGACGGTCTCCTGTTCGGCCACGTCACGCACATCGCCCCCTCAAACCTCTCCGACGACGTCCCCTCCTCAAGCGACTACGATTCATCTTCCCCTCTCGTCGCCACCATCACCGGATTCATCTGCTCCGGCTCCATCAACAGCTTCTACGACTCCACCGGCCGAGTCGACTCTCCCTCTCTCACCCGCCTCCTCGGCAATTCTGACGAAGAACACCGCCAAACCCTAATCGGTTGGTTCTCCGGTCGCCGGAAAACCTCTCTCCGACCTTCCCTCAGAGAATTCTCCGTCGCGGCCTCTCTCTCCTCGAGGACCGATCTCTCTTTCCGCGTGAAGAACGCTCCCGTCGCCACCAATCTCGCGCCATGCGTCTTCCTCCTCCTTTGTTCTCCGTCGCAGGACCAAGCGATTCACACGCACGAGTATCGCGCGCACCAGTTCCGCGCTTCGACGAAGTCGTTCGAGCCGAAATCGATCGACATTGTCAATATCGGACCTACATTTCGCGGACATTATGGATCTTTCAGCCCCAACTCTCCGTTTCCACATTTGCCTATCGATTTAAGGACGTCGCCGATGAGCGAGGACCGGATTGAGGAGAGTTTGAGTCGGATGAAGCAGGTGTCGATGGTTCAGAGGGAATTGGATTTCTGCGCCGAGGGTGTGGAGGTTGGGGATTTGCAAAGGCTGATGGGACCAGAGGCTGCGAATTATACTGCTGGAGTGGAAGATTTGTACGAGAAGATGCTTGCGAAGATTGAGAATTTGGCAAGACTCGTGGAGAAGAGTTCGGCCAAGGTTCTTGAGCAGGTGAGGTAGCTTAACCGCTATCGATTAAGTGAAAATGCAGCAACTTTTCAGAGACTTTGGGCTAAATTTTGATGTTCTCTTCTTAAGGGTTTGCATTTTCAATTGCAATAATGGCTTTGTTTGATTGAAGTAGAATGTCTGTTGCTAATGCTAAATGACGCTATTAGTTTTCATATGGAATTTTCTTCTGGCTATTTTTATTATTATTTTTCTATTTTATTTTGACTGTATATTTTGTTTTATGCGACTTCTTTTGTTTTCTTATTCCTTTTTAACCGTAAGCGAACTCTTACAATTGTTCCACGAGAATTGAGAAATATGTGTTATGTTATTACTAAAATAATATTCTTGTTGGTCTGCAAAAATTTGGCAGGAAAATCATAATAGGAAGTTAAGGTACAAAGTTGCCAGAACTGCTGGGTTGGAATAGGGGTGTGATTCTTAATTGCGATGATTGTTTTGGTCGTATCAGGTAATTTCTTTTCCTTTTTTACTTTTATTTATCTGCATTTTGTAATGAAACAATCCACCATTGTCAGTTAAAGCTTCTGTAGTTTTAGATGACAACCATGATGTGATATGTCTAATGTTTTGTGATCATCAATGACTGGAAATGACCCTATGCTTGACTGAAAGAAATGATTAGAGTTGGAGAAATCCGTTTAAGTGGTGCTGATTAAGTTTGAATTCGAGATTCTGCTACGGAACATCAAACTTTCTAAATGGTTCGTCGTTATTCTTTTCAGCACACCCAACGCTCTATTAAAAGAAAGGATTGGAGAAATGAATTTAAGTGTTGTTGATTGAGTTGAATTCAAGTTCTATCATTGAACATTAAATTTAAAAATGGTTCTTGATCATTCATTTCAGCACATAATGGTGTCTGCATTTGAACATTGTTCTTCAATGACTTAAAAAGGTAAAGGTTCACTGACAATTGTCACAATAGTTGGTTTTATGAGGCCTTAGAAGAGAGGGAGGGGTCCAGGATCTTCTTCGGTGTTATATCCATATCTATGCAAAGTCTCCCTAGCTTCAGTTATAAGAAAAAGGGCCCCCTTAGTTTCTTTTGATGTTACCATTCATGATGCTTTCAGGCTGAGCCACTATCCATTCTCACATAAGCAATTACTGGACGGACATACTTTCAAATGTAACCATTTTACTTGTTCACTATAATTGTGTGCGTCTATTTGAATTGTGTCTATATATATGTTCTTCTATATGTATTTGTGGAAGGAGAAATTAAAAAATTGCACAGGACGTTGAAAAGGCTGGCCTTTAAGTGATACCAAATGTTTTCAGAAATGCTTTGGATATTGACATTTCTTTTCTAATGTGACCATTATGTCTTCCTATATGTATCGATAAGTATATTTGAATATGGAACCGGTTATCACCAGAACAAAGTACCCGACCCCGTGTTTATTATGTCTCTTAGCTTAAGTGAGATGCAATTGCTTTGTACCGGAACTTAGGAGGAGAATTCTAAATTCTCTTCATCTTTTTTACGTCCTGTGAAAAGAGTCTCTATATCTCTTGTTTCCAGTTCCGTGGTCTTATTTCCTCGTCATCAATCGTTACCCTGTAACAAATGTGCTGTACTTCACTTTCATGTTCTATCAATATAGATTCCACTTCTACGTCATGTTTTTGTTTTTACATTTTGGTTTTGCTTATCCAATTTGTACAGCATTTCTTTCCCTGAACTTTTGTCAGCCCTCTTCTGTGGTTTTCCACTCCTGTTTTTATCCCGTTCTTGCACGACTCCTACCCCATCTTTTTGCTCCCCTGTGTTGTTTTAGTCTTGCAGTACTGCCTTCTCCAGATTTGATGCTTCCTTTGTTTTAAAGTAAATCTGCTCCGGCCTTTTCTAGGGAGATTGTGTCACGTGTTTATTATATTGTTTGAGCTTTTCCAGCTTGCACTACAGCAACAGCAAGTCAGAAGGGTAGTGCTTTAAGGTTTCCAACTTGCGACTATAGCATGTTCTTATCACTAAATATTCCTAATGCCAATCCATTTTTGAACAAGGAAATTCGCTATGAAGTTAGTTAAACATGCTTTCAGAGTTTATATGTTAAAGAATGAATAGTTTGCGAGGAGATCTTGATCGGCTAGAACCATGTGTAATTTGTTTGTACATTTCCACTTCATCCTATGTCAAGCTAGATTTTGCCTTTTAAAATCTGGAAATTCATCCTTCAGGCTACTGTCTGTCTCACTTTTTTCTTTTCTTTTTCTTTTGTGAATCATCGATTGCAAACAAGTCGGATCTGATCTTGTTGCTGATATGTTGAGCATCCGGGAGTCATGACATTGCACCGGTTGCAGTTGAACACTTTTGGTATATTTCAGGAGAATATTATTCGGGGAAGTGCAGACCTTATGTTTCTAGTCAACGCTCATCTGAATATTTTGTTTTTGTTAATCTTGAAGGTATGGATGACTTGATGCTGCCTCCTTCCAATTATACGGTGGAGTTGCTCTATCATCAGTCCCCACTTTTGCTATTTTTCTGTTTCTTCAGAAAATACTGTATTGTAAAGAGGAAAAGGAAAGCTAATGCATTGCCGATCAATGTTTGTCTCTTATCTATCATTGAATTCACCTTTCTGATGCCATTCTTTTCTTAATAATTTCTTCAGTATTTCAAATAGACAGGATTACAGTCAACAAGAAACAAACTACAAACGGGATAATATCCAGATAATGCAGAAGAAACAAATCTGGTTCTCAAAGCTTTCCTAGGTGGTCCTATTTTTCCTTCTTTTTAAGTGCTAGGAGTCCTAACTTTTATACAAATTCTTTTGCCGTAGATGTGGTTTTTAAATATTTACTAGGGATGTATTTTTGATATTGTGTTTTGAAGTTGTTTATTGAACGCCTAGTTGATATTGGACGTCGTGTTTTTCTTGTGTTTTGTTGGGGGAATTTTATTATTATTTTTTGCTTTATAAAGAGCATTAATCCCCTAAAAAAAACAGCTAGAATTATCTATTTCTGTTATTTACTACGAATTTCGTCTTTAAATATACAATTGGTCAGATACCATCCAACCAAAAACCATAAGTATTTAAGAGTCGTACTTGAAAGGAATTATAGTTATATTTTGAAGCTCAAGCGTTTGGCAAGTTCTTAGTTAATGCTTCAACATAACCTTGAAGTCATAAATGATGTAGGTATAGGCTCCGTCTTTGGTATTCCTTTTTTTCATTCTTTTTGCGTAGGTTTGCCAAAGAGGAAGAAAAAAAGAAAAAAAAATTATTCAAAAAAAAGAGGAAGAAAAAAAAAATCAGCATGAGTGAGAGACAAATTTGACCTTTGGCGGTGATAATTGGTATATCGGCTGGAAAAAGTAATACGGTTTTACTTTAAATACCTTTTTCTTGGTAAAATTAAGACATTAATAATGTCATGGATATATGAAGAGTCAAAAATACGAGAAAATAAATGTAACAGAGAATCGAGTAAAGGGCCTTCAATGTGTCGTTTTCCAATACCATATAAAGTTCTAAAATGACATTCAGGTCCTGTTTATTTCATTAATTTGAGTTTAAAATTATGAGTTTTATTATTGTAAAAAATTCTTAAAAATAGTCACATTTAATTTTTTTATTATAGTAAAAAAATTTTACGTAAAGTCACATCTTAACACGAATTAAAAACTCAACTCAGTAAATTAAACATTCAAGAAAAGGGCGTTCATTACGTCGTTTTCCAATACCATATAAAGTTCTAGGATGACATTCAATGTATCATATCATATGAATTTGACGCCTTGACTACCTCCTCTTCAAAATATGATCAGAAATAATTGACAGATCTTCCAAATATACACAATTTCTTTGTTACGTACTTCTCTGAGGAAAATTTCACTGAAAATTATTCTAGGTTTTCCATGCCACCTACGAGAAGAAATTATGGCCGATGAAGAGTGTGGGACGCCCTAGAGGGGAACTTATTCAGCCACATTTTTTCAAGATCATTCTTCACCGTAAGGGTGGCAATTTGTGTTAATCCGTTTATTAATCGTTTCAGAACACATCAATCCAAACACGACTTGTTTATTAATCGTGTCAACTCGCATGACCCATTTAAATTAATATATTAAATAAATAATTAATATAATAATGACTTATTTAACACCGTCAAGATATGTTTAACATGTTTATTGGTCAATTTATCTTTTTCTTTAAGAAACATAAATGAATTTTACCTAAAAATATTAAAATTCACATTATTTGTATTTAATATGTCATATAAACTTTCATGGTATATCACATATCTTTACATTACAGATGCACATATAATTAATCATGTCAATTCGTGTCACTTCGTGTTAGAAGGTCAACCCAAACCCAACCCATTTATTAATCGTATTAATCGTGTCAATCCGATTATGACCTAAACCCATTTATAGTAAATCAAAACTCGCTAACTTCGTGCGGGTTTCGAGTTATGTCATCGTGTTGTAATAACGTATGGCAAATAAAAAGTTAAGGGTGTGTTTGGCTGCCCAGAAAACTCAAAAAAAAGTAATTCGAGTTCTAACTTTATTCAAGTTCATGTTCTTTTAAGTTTGATCGAGTTTAAACTTGAGTTTGAACTTTAGTTTGGGACTAAAACTCGAGTTCAAGTGTCTCATTCAACTCGAGTTTAGAAACTCGAATTCAAATTAGGAACCGTATTTTTTTATTCTTAAAAATGCTATAACTTTTTCGTTTTAATCCTGATTGAGATGATTTTTTTTCTATGGGTTGACAACGAAAAGACGAATAAAATCCCACCCAAATACCCTATTAAAATTTTTCATCACCATTGAGTTTTTTTAAAAATACTATCTAAATACAAATTTAAGTTTTGACTTATTCAAACACAAACTCAAAAAAAGATTCTTATCTGAAACCATAACTCAAATGTACACAACCAAATATAAACTCAAGTTATAACTTAAATTCAATTCAAAAATTACACTCAAATCACACTCTAAAAGAAAAGCCCTAAATTATTCAAAATACACTTGCGTCCTCTCATTTTGTGGATAGTTACGTCCGCGCTTATATGGCCACGGAGTATCCAGGTGGTCAACGATGTCATTGAAAAATCCAGATTTCCCTAGTATTGAGGGAATCATCTTTTGTATTGGCTCCATGAATCTACTGAAATAGTCATCTATGCTCTCTCGATTATTGGAGTGAATATTTAATAATTGGCCAAACACCTTATCCAAAATGACAACATTTTGCTTCATAATTTCATGATACTTGTGAACTCTTTTTATGGCTTCTTCCATATGCTACAAAAAGGTAACCGCAATCAATAACCTTTGTAAGAAAAGAACAAAAACGAGATTAAATGTTGCTTTCTTTAGTGGAGAATATCTGGAAAGCCAAAACCCTACAGTCATTATCTGTTCAAAGAATTCCCAATTGCGCTGTAACCCAATACCAGAAGTAAAGGAGGACTTTAGATTTGACTACTTATATTTTTCGAATGCTTCTTTAATCTCTTCTGGGAGGCGCAACAGATCAAAATCTTGTAAGGAAAGTTTAGAAAACATCATCTTCTTCGGACCGCCATCGGAGTATGGAGTCCGCTTATATTTAGAGTTCTTTTGAATTTTTAATTTAAATTAAGATGTGAATTTATGTGAAAATTTTTTACTATAACAAAAAAGTTAAATATTTGCACGACCTCCAAAAACATCCTCTCCGTTTACCCCAGGAGGGTTAGACCGCGACGATCTGGGCGGGTCGATAGGAGAGGTACCCTGCTGAGGTCTAGAAATTTCATGTGTAACATCTTCAGGACCCCCTTGATCTCCTCCACGGACTTCATCATCGTAACCATTCAAATGAAGGAAGGAGGGAGGGAAGAGAGAGATGAGAGTGTTGACAGAGATTTTACATTTTGAGTGTTTTTATCTGAGATAGTTTATTCACAAATTAAAAGACTAAAATACCTCTCTCTTACAACCCTGATTCATTTAAAATTACGGTCTCGTTCGCTTCCTTTTTAGAAGAGGCTTTTGGCCGACGATTTGTTCTTTGGCCAAGGTCGCCATGGAGTGAGGCGTCGACATCTTCACCAACTTCATTCTGTTTCTTTCAGTTCATTTCCAGTACTCCCTGCAAACGATGCCGTCTTCGATCCTCAGGTGCGTCCCAAAAATCACAATTCTTTCCTTTCTCTTTTGCGTCTTTTTGCAGTTTGGGGTTTTTTTTTTTTAGGTTTCATTGTTCGAAATCCTAGGTTATCCTTTTGCTAGGGTTTTGGTTTATTCTCCGTGCTTAATCGCGCACGAATGTTCTTTTTAACCTGTATTTTGTATCTCAAATCTCAATAATTCAGTTTCTTCATTTATTTGCCGTTATTCATTGTCGTTTCTGAATTTGAATGTTTCTATTTTCCTTTGTCAATTTGGTGAGCAATTGTTGTATCTGTGCTATATATATATATATATATATATATATAGACACACACACGTGTATATATATATATATGTATATGAGGATTATTATTACACTTACATGCATGCGGTGATTCACTAACAAGTACCAATAGTTCTGCATTTTAGCAAAAAAGTACCAATAGTTCTTGATTGTTGTCGTATATGTTTCTTTAAAATCCTTTATTTATTATTTTTTTATTTTTTTATTTTTTTCTAATTTTGGAGATTCAGAAACTACTATGATAAAAAGCAAGAAATGGGTTTAAGACTTTTAAGTGATTGTTGCGTCTTTCTGTGGATTTTTGTCCCTATCAAAAGTGTGTAAATAAGTATCTATGTCTCTTTGCTTTCCAGCGATGTCTACCGAAGAAGAAAGGCTGTGGAACATTGTGAAGGCAAATTCTTTAGATTTTCTAGTGATGTCTTATTCCTGCAGCGAATGGGACAAAGCTTTTTGCAGTCGGTTTTATGTTTTTTCTTTTGATAATTTACTTCTTATGGTTTTGCTTGGATTTCATTGGTATAATTTGATGATTTTGTGTTACTTATTGATTTCGTTTTTGTTTGGATGAGTTTTCCATTTTGAATTTTGGTTTGTGGTTTGATTTCGCTTCCTGATTGAAATTCTATGTGGATTGGCTTAATTTCGCTGGTGGATTTGAGATTTGTGGTTTTTAGTTTGTTGATTTTACTAGAAAATAACGAGATGTTGAATTTATGATTATGGATATAGATTTTATGCGTAGTAGAATGACAGATTATCGCCGGCAGCGCCGGTAATTGGAGACTGGCGGCCGACATAACCTGTCAAACTATAGATTATAGTTTGACATATTATGAATCATAGTATGAGAGATTATGAGTCATAGTTTGACAAACTATGGATCATAGTCTGATAAACTATGACTGGGCTTGTCATACTATAGGTCATAGTATGGCAGACTATGGGTCATGATCTGACAGACTATGGCTGACTTCGGTATAACTTGTCAGATTATGGTCATAGTCTGACAGACTATGGCTAGCTCCATCGTCACCTGTCAGACTATGGGTTGGCGAGTCGGAGACCCCACTGTCGGCCGTTATAGACACGTTGGACGGCTGTTGGAGTTTCACCGCGGTCGCCGGAGACCCTGCCGTCCGTCACCGATCGAAGACAACCAACATTTTGTAAATACCTTTAGGGTATTTTAGTAATCTATATATTGGGCATTTGATTGTGCTTAGTCTAATGGGGTAAAAATAAAATGGCTAATTTTAAGGGTTGATAATAGTTTGGTGATCCATTTTGAGGGGTAATTGTAAAAATCTCTCTTTAATTTTATCATTTTAGTCCCTCATTTTTTTTTTTTTTTTTGCTTTTCTGCCTTTTGTTTTTTTTTTTTTTTGGCTCCTTTTTTTTTATTTGCTTCTTTGGCCCCTTATATTTGTTTTTCTTCTCTTTTGATTTAATCTTATCATTTTTTGACAATTAGACATTTTTTAACGTTTTTTTCTTTCGCTTTCTTCTTTTTGTTATTTTGGATCCCATTTTACTTTTTTATTTACTTCTTTAGATTCTTGCTTATTTTCTTATTTTCATTTTTTTAAAAAAATTCTCTATAGTGTAATCCTTTTTGATGCATTTTTGTTAAGTAGTTCTTTTTCACCCTCATTATGTTTCTTTCAAAATATAGTTTTTAAAAGAGTTCCTATTTATTTTTTTCGATGTGCAATCTTTATTATTTTAAAAGTTATTTTTAATTAACAATTAACCAAGATTTATATTAATCAAAAAACATAAATAATAATACAATAATCAAAATCTAATACAAAGATCAAACTTACAGAATTATCCCCACGTGCTTAACACTTGGTCTCAACTAGTGTATTAAAAAGTTGGGAAAAGATCTGGGTCCTTATCATTATTTTATATTTCACTGTTATCCTTAGTTGCAAATTTTCATGGTTCTTTACGTGGTTTCTGCCTTCTGGAATGCAAATTTATCCAGTGTCCTACCAGAGAGGGAAAAATTAACGCAAATGAATAAGAAAATGGCTTCAAATGGAATTGTGTAGAATCATTGGGGCAAGATTGGAATATAAAAAAAAAGTCTTACGCGGCAAGAAAATGCACGTGGAATTGTGGGGCTGCAGTAAAAGAGAGTCCACTAAACTTGCCGTCACTAATGACATCACACACTGGTAGTGCCGCTGGAATTTCCAGAAACAACGGAGATGTAAGAACGAACGCCAAAAAAAAAAACAAAAAAGAAGGCTGTCACTTCCTTCGTCCCTAAGACAATTCAGAAAAATTCTCTCACACACTGCAACAACATATATATGATCCAAACATCTCTTTCTGTCCCTCTTTCGTCAGAAAAAGAGAAAGGAAAAGGCTTTCTCAATCCCCTATAAAAACAAACAAACTCTTCATAAAACCCTCTTCGGTCCTCCGAATCAAGCAAAAGAAAAGAATAATAATAATAAAGAAAAATACAAAGACCCCAGAGAACAAATTATTGTATATATTGTTTGGCTTTTTCCAAACGAGAGTTTAGGTAGAAGATATCACTCCCGAGTATGAACACTGAGGCTGTTCACAAGTAAGTTTTGTTATTATCTTTTTCTAACAAATGGTTATATTAGTTTGCGATGTTTGTTTTACATTTATAGTACGGAAATATGGCATTCCCCTGTTCATGTTTCTTTTATTGTTTAACTTGGCGGGAGATTTGAACTCTATACGATTTACTGAGGTGTTAATTTACTGTTAAACTATGCCTGCAACTGTACGGGGAAAGAGCCTTAACCATATAACGAAAGAGACCCACAGTCTCGGTCCCGATCTTGCTAGCCGGGGGCTTAGTCTTTCAAGATTTGTTCATGTTTCTCAACTATAGGGTTTGGTGTGAATATACTTGAGCCGTCTAAAAAACAAGAGTTTCTTTGAGTTGATTTCAGGAGCATAAAACCAAGGAAGAGAAGAAATGGAAGTCGATCAATAGTGGACACTCTAGCAAAATGGAAGGAGTACAACAGCCAACTCTGTTCTGTAGAAGGAGGAGAAGGGAGTCTTAAATCACCAGCCAAAGGCTCCAGAAAAGGTTGTATGCTTGGAAAAGGAGGACCCGAAAACTCGGTGTGCAATTACAGAGGAGTTAGGCAGAGGACTCGGGGTAAATGGGTTGCTGAAATTCGAGAACCGAATAACAGAACCACCAAAACTAGTAAAAGAGGAACAAGACTTTGGCTTGGCACTTTCTCTACTGCCCATGAGGCAGCTCTTGCTTATGATGAGGCTGCAAAAGCGATGTATGGCCCTGTGGCTCTCCTTAACTTCCCTGACTACCCTCTAGATCCTACTCACCAGCTCACTGTGTCATCCGAAGATGCAAGGGTTTCTGACCCGACTCGGTATAGCAGCTTCAATGGCAACACTCAGTCCCAGCAGAATAAGCCTTTGAATACAGAAACCATGATGTCCAATGGTTGTAATAGCTGTGGTGACAGTTATGCCTGCTTGGAAGATGAGCATAAAAATACGTGTTATTATCCGGCACTTGATTTCGATATTGCAAATGATGCTAAAATGCCAGAGAAACAAGAAAGTTCTTGCGGCTCTGTCGGTTCATCGAGTAGTCTAGATTGCTTACAAAATTGGGCAAAGGATGGAACACTAGGCATTGATTACTATTGGGACAATTGCTGCGAAATGCCTTCCAGCTTTGATTACCGGATGCAGATTAAAAATTGTGACCTTTCTAAGAGCTTGAACCATACGGACGAAGCGCATTTAAGTTCGATTAATGAGTTCGATTTCCTGAGGCCAGGTTATGATTTTGGTTTATCGGAAG